AACTATTTATTTACAAGGAATACAAAAGTGAGTCATGTCACCATGTTTTACAGTCCTTCAATATAGTCACCAGCATTGTGTACAACCCGTTTCCAACGATGTGGAAGTCGCAGAATACCTGTAGCAGTGCCTGTTTTGTTGATAGTTTGAATGGACCGGTCTACTGCCGCAAGAATCTCAGGAACAGTTTGTAAGCGAGTGCCACAAAGTGGTTCCTTCATCTTAGGAATTAAGTCATAGTCACAAGGGCTTAGATCTGGGGAGTATGGTGGATAATAAAGCACTTTCCAGCCCCATCGCTTGAACAAATCAGTCACAGCTTGCGCTGCATGCGGCTGAGCATTGTCATGGAAAATGAGAGGAGCGTTCTGCAGAAAGTGTCGCCATTTTTTTCTCAAACCTGGTCGGAGATTGTGCTTCGAAAATGAGCAGTAATACTGTGCAGTGACGGTCTGCTGTGGAGGAATGGTATGCATTAGGATGACACCATCACAGTTGTACACGAGAATCACCATAACTTTCACATTGCTGGGGTTCATAACGAAATTTCGAATGTCGTGGTGACCCGTGATGACGCCATTCGTTTGATTGGCGTTTTTCAGTTCTGGCTGGTATGATTGGGCCCAAGTCTCATCCAGTGTAATGATACGGCGTAAAAAAGCATCTCCTTCGCGTTCATAGCACTCCAGGTGGGTTCGGGCAGCATCGTACCGTAGCCATTTCTGCATTTCTGTCAATTGATTTGGAACCCATCGTGAAGCAATTTTTCTCATGGACAGGCGTTCCTTCAGAATGTGCAGCACAGTCTTATCCTGTTTGTCCGTTCAGCTGACAAATCGTTTGGCGGCGATCACTCCATTAGTGTGGCAACAGCTTGCACGTCTGCATCGCTGACACTCGGACGACCTGGCCGCAGCATGTCTGCCACGTTTAGGTGTCCTTCATTGAATGCTTTCACCCATCTTGCTACGGTTCTGTAAGGCAATGCAGATTCCCCGCAAGCCTCTTGAAGCCCTTGATGACACTGTCGTGCTCTACGACCTCTGGCACATTCAATTTTTATCCAACATCATTGTTCTTGTTTTGAAAACATCCTGACAACACTTACTTTAGACTGCGAGCTAATACAAGGATCCGTTCTTCGCGTCACTCCGCATGCGCATGACATAGGCAGGACGAGTCTTTTTGCTGAGAGGTAAGGTAGGTATGTAATTCACGTATGGTATACGCGATATTCTTTGTTTTTTCAGCTGTGTTGCCACTATTAAAGTTCCAACCCCCGTATAAGAAAGTAAAATAGTTTTCTGTAATAAGATTTAAGTATAATTTATCTTTTTGTATCATAAACTATATTATAAGTTTGGACAGTAATAGTTTATAGTTCCAGGTGAAAGTCAACAGTCTGTAAGTATATATTTCATGAATTGCATAAATACATATATTGCAATGTGATTTTCTTTTTCTCTTTAGGATGCAATGCATTAAAAAATAAACGAGAATTTTTTAACCTTCTCAAATATTATAACAGTAGTGCAATTAATTTTTAAACGTTATTCAAAATTAAAGTTTCCATCTCAATTTTTTATTATTTATTTTAGATTTTCTTCCTAAAATTATTTAACATAAACATCTTAAACAATGGCACAAATAATTTAAAGCGATTTTTAAAAATATAGATAAAATATTCAGGAAAAAAGGGGTTAAGTTATATCTAAAAATAATTGTAAAAAATCGAATAACCTAATTCGAGGTCGTTGTCTGCTGACTGCCAGCAGATGGAAATAAAAAACACTACCTGCCATATCAAAAGTGCGCCAAACTGGCGATGAACGTCGTAAGCTATCACTCCCCAAGAGCACCAAGACCATGAGTCACGTGATATATGTTGGAGACACCCTAGCAGACGAATTCTCTGTGGGTTAGCTGTATACCTGTTATATGAAGTCGCTGTTTAAATCCAGTAAGATAGCATGTAGAAATTATAAAATTAAAAATATGAAATCTTGATTTACGAAATAATGAAGTATTTATGATCTAAAGGTAACAAAATTTACAAAAAAAAAAAAAAAAAAAAAAAAAAAACTTAATATTTATTTATTTACCTTATTAAACATTTCTTTCAATGTAAGTTGTTTAAGTTGTTTCGTTTTTTTTTTTGTGCTAATATTTTCTCTTTAATTCTGTAGATAGACATAATCTCTTGTTTAGTTATATTGTTGGAAGTCCTGTAACTGCTGCTTCGAAAATTCCGATTAACTTGTCAATCGAAATTTTTTCGCTTTCAGTATCTTCTCTGTAACTTTCTCACTAGTGGTAGCGGTATTTTCTGGATTTAGAACCATACTACAGATTTTGCCATTCAGTAAATGACTGATGATCAAGAAGCATTGTCATGACAATGAAAAACTTCTTTTATATCGTCTTCTCCACGTTTCTTTACAAAACCCGTTAATTGGAAAATTTCACCTTTGTTATGTGATATCTGAAAAACTTAAAAATTAGCAGCTATTATCATTAAATTTAGTTATTCTTCACTATACATATTTGGCTACACATCATGAGCTTGGCGACTAACGACAAGTTCCGTTAAATTTTATCTTGCTTCTATTGCACACTGAGACAATTAAACCTGAATTGTATTAGTTTAGTTATTTATTATATTTATGTCTATCTCTTGCGCATGCTTAAGGCTTATCAGAGTTCTGAATAAATAAATTCCCACATATACTTAAGCCTTATTGAGGGCAGGTGCTAGATATCTTGCTGCCCGATCCAGTCTCTGTGGGTCTTAAATTCTACGACACGGTGCGGCCATACGAGCCCTGGTGCTGGTTCTGGGTTTATGTGAATAAAAAATCAGTAATTCTTAATTCAAATAGCCTTAAATATAATCTTTGGGTCTATGAGTATCATCAACAAAATCGTTTTTTAGTATATGGAAAGAAATTTTTGGTAAATTTTTCCTCGTCAACATTTTTAGCTCATTTAACTTAAATCTGTAATCATCGCCAAGCGTAATGTCAACATAAAAGGTTCCCATACTCCTTTGTTATTCAATCACTAACATAAAAAATCTGCTGTGTACACCACATGACTTCCTTGTATGGAATATTAAATTATACACATTTTTTCTTGCATTTCATTTAAACTAATTGGATTGAATTAAATCTACTTCGTCAAATAGTGCATAAACCACAACAGCATAATTGCACTCTTTTAAAATTCACTATATTTGTGTACCATAGTGATACTCTGGCGCTAGGCACTTAAAGTGTTATTTCGTTCATATTATAACTCAGAATGAACAAATTATATCATTGAAGAATTATCTAATGTTGCCACATGTTCTATTCAAATACTATATAAATCTAGAACGATGTATGAAAGAATTAAGCAAACAAAACAAACAAAAAAAAAAAAAAAAAAAGTTTTTCACAGACGATTTAGTATTTCTCATTCAACTAATTCAGTTCTCATTTCGTGACAAGGCAAAAATACATAAAAACTCAAAATATCTAAATTACGAAATAAATCTTAAACATTTATTTCCTCGAAAAAATTCCAGAATGAATTAAGCATGATTTAATTCACAATATTAAAAGAAGGCATTATCTTTGTTTTTGCGAAGCTTACTTTCTCTAGATTGGCAACAGATTTACTATTCTGCTGTTTCAAATGTAAACAAATATGTCCGCCATGTTATTTAAAAATTAGGCTTAACTGCACTTAAGTAGCTTTTTAATTGTTAATAATTGTACAAATATTGCATGCAGATTTTCTAAATGCATAAAAACCTTAACCGGAAGATAAGAACAACATAATTCAATCATTTTAAAGCAAAAAAGGTACAATTCACAAACATATAAATAAAGAAACGAGCTTGCTGAGTCGGTAACGAGTGGATTTTTTTAATGGCTTTTGGTGGCAAACCAATATATGAGGTACACATGTACATGTTATAGCAGTAGTACATAGAAAATTTCAATGTTTTGAGGCTACTTGTTTTTAAGTTATGCGAGATACGTACGTATGCACAGATGCCACAAAAAATTCTCTTTAGAATTCATTTTAAATCAGTTTTATAATTTTATGGGGGGGGGAAGTTTTTTATTCTGTCCTTACATACAGGTGTCACGCAAAAACATCGTTAAATTGCATTCGATAGCGGTCAACATGGATATTTTCGTTCAAATATGCTTCCTGAAACTTTTCACGATTATAATAGTACTTCCTTTTTACTTCATACAAGGAAGTAAAAAGTTGTTTAGACATTGCTACATGAGTCATTACTGAAGTTGTCATTTGTTGATAAACATGCAGTGATGGAAGGAAAGTATAATAAAAAATGATTCACCAGGTTGGCGTCAGATCAACAATATATCTATGTGGAATGTTTTGGTCTGAGATGTGTGCCAAGCTGATATGCAGTAACAGGGCCATATTACTGATCGTACAGATTTATGCTAACGTGATTCTTTCTTCAATAACAAGGTATTTTATTTAGTGTCGAAGTGAAATTAAGAATCAGGACTCTCCAGATGTTTTATTATGCTCAGAGGAGGGAATCAAATGTGCATACGTAAAGCTTACGAGAAAAAGTTGTTGGTGGTTTTGAGGTTCGGATTTTAGATCATTCCGGATTTCGGACTTTACGCATTATACTGTATTGAATACTGCTGAATCAAGGGACTTTATATCATGCAGTATAAAACTGCAAGAGATATGACAGAGCACACGCAATATTAGTATGCATTCTGTAGGCAGTCAACAAAATATTTCCTGTAAAACAATCTTTAATTTTGTAGAAGTATAGCTTTTTAGTAGAAAATGTAGTTTTTTTTGTGTTTCACAGTGGTATGCCAAATATGCTTCATTATACTGACATCTGGTTGCTCAGAGTATCATGGCAAGTCTTCATTGTTAGATCTTCTAATCATAATTTTGACAGCTGATCTTTACTGTACGGTACCCCTTGGTTTCTGTGTGAAAAAAATTGCCAGATGGTCTTGGTTGTTCATGAAATCTGGAAGCCCACTACGGGAAATTGGGTTTCTAATGTTGATGATGTTGGTAGAACTAGCCTTCAGTAGAACTTTTTTTTTTGTCATAAAAAAGGGGTTATTTCTTCGAATATCGCCAAACGTGTTGTATTAAATTTCGATTTTGGCTATTCTTAGTAATTGTTTAGTATTTTTGTTCAGAACAAATTTATAGTGTGTCTTTGCAACAATATATGACAGTACTGCCTCATGATTCAATTATGGTTGCTATGGTAACACGAACCTATCAAGTATGAAATTTATGTGTTCTATTCTTTTTTTTGTTTTATTGCTACAGTGCTTTGAGTGATGTGTGCATAAAAAAAAATGCTGTGTCGTCACATAGACGACATTTCTCCTATTTTAAAGTGTTTGTGTAAATTTTAAGTTATGGTCCATTAGTCTTATTCTTAATCATTTTTGGTCCATTGAGCCAGAGCAGTGAAATAATAAGCTATGGATATCAGTGATTAATTCAAATTAGCCTTCATTTTCGGTTTTGTTCAAAGTGGTGACATCGAAATCGAGCAATGTGTGGGATTACTTTTGATTTCAGGTAATAGTTACTCTTTCATACAGACCCAGGTTTTTGGTTCTTACTATTCTTTTAGTTGCTGTGTTTGGTTGCACGTGTGTGGTATGGTCTTGGATTTTGAACTTGCTATTATTTTGCTGTGGGTACCATCATTTCAGTATGTCCGAGGTGGGTAAGAGGATGAATGTTAATTAACAGCGGATGAGCCAAATCAATGAAAAATTGAATTGAATTGCTTGCATGGAGGATGGAGGAGATGGTGTTTGGGATGCGTGAGCATATGCACATGAAAAAAGCTATGTTAAAAAATTGGCACTTTATTTATTTCTGAATGTTAATTTTTGTTAAAAATTTGTTGTTTAATGTTTTTATGTTAGGAAATATGTATTTTTGGTTATTTACTACTCTCTCTTTGTGTATTTTTGATTATTTGTTCATCTCTGTGTGTTAAGAGAGCGGCGAATTTTTTCTGGTTAACACGATAGTTTTAACTTTGTTTTAGCTTCCTGATTTTGTTCAAGTGAAAATAGATGTGTACATGGACAAAGTTAAGGCAGTGCACAATGCCTAGTTTGTGCAATTCCCTGATTTTTTTTTTAGTTAAAATAAGTCTTTTTATAAATAGGTTAAGTTAAAATAGGTTTTTTGAGTTAAAATGTGTACCTGGACATTGAGCTTGTGTAAGTCAAAAAGACTTACACAAACTCTACACAAAACCAAAATAAATATGCTGCACATAACCAAAATAAGATTATTTTGGTTTTGTGTGGCAGGCGGGAGGATCGGCGGCATCTTGTAATTGGTGCCGATCCTTCCTGGCGTCGATCTCAGCGTCAAAAAGGACACGATTTGCCAAGGGATACTGTAGAGTAAATTTTAACCATTTTGACATGTCTAGATGTATGTGGCTACAACTTACCTGCTAGAAGAGGCCTAACCCATCAGCAAGAATATAGGGTATAAATGGGAATAACTCGATAGCACACTTAGTATAGTCAAAAGTCTTTAATCCAGACTCTTCGGGACTTCCGCAATTCCGGATTATAGATCATCAGTTTAAATCTGGTAAGATGGCATGCAGAAATTATAAAATTAAAAATATGAAACCATTATTTATGAAATAAAGAGCAATTATGATCTAAAGGGTATCAATTTACAAAAAAAAAGTAATTTTTGTTTGTTTTACTTTATTACATTTCTTTCAATCGCGCATGCGTAAAGCATACGTTCGCATAGTTGAAATTTAAAATTGCTACCAAAACTACTTGATGTGTATTCGTGACATTAAAGGATGAGAATTTGATTAAATCATTCAAGACGGAGTATATCGAGAAGAAATACTAATTTAGTAAGGAATTATAAGCCAAATAAATTAAAACATCTGCCTGAATATAAGAGTGCTGACGATCAACTTCCAGTTCAGAGGCGCCAGCCTCCCGTCTCAGAGCTGCCTAAATTAACATCTTTTGAATGGTTAGAGACTCAAAGGATATGCTTATCCCTTTTTTGCAGCAATTCCACTTTTTTGTTTGGACATGGACATACTTTCACTTTGAAGTCCTTAAGCGCTCCAGAATCAGAATCTTTTTGACTAACGAAAGTTCAGCTTAATTTTTAAAATTGCTAACAGTCTCAAAGTATAAGTACCGGATCAATTAGAAGATCGGAACAACGCAATTGCACTTAACTGAAATAGATAGTAGATATTTTAGCATAGCTTATACACCATTTACATTAAACGTGCATGTAAACGCAGATGCGTTGACGCATGCGCAGAAAGTTTGCGATTAGGTCCGGATTATAGATCGTCCCTATTATGGAGTCGGATTAAGACTTTGACTGTATTATTTGTTTAATATAATTTATTAAAATATACATGATACAGAACCTGAATAAATGGCAGTTTTCTTTTGCCAGGAATTTCTTTTTCCTATCTAATTTTTTCTTATTTACAGTCAAAAGTCGTTAACCGGATCGTCGGACTTCGGCATTCCGATTCTCGATTTTTCCGATTATAGATCATCAGTTTAAATCTGGTAAAGGGCATGCAAAAATTACAAATTAAAAATATGAAACCGTAATTATGAAAAAGAACAATTCTGATCTAAAGGTATCAAAATTTACAAAAAGAAAAGCTAATATTTATTTGTTTACTTTATTAAAATTTCTTCAGGTAATTGCTTCGTTCATGTGATAATACTTCTCTTTAATTATATTAAACAGACATCAGTTCTGTTTAGTTACAAAAGTCCCGGTTCAAGTCTATAATTCTGTGTTGAGATACCGACTCATTTGTCAATCGAAATTTTCGTTCATACCTCTGGTCACTTCTCACTATCGGAAGCGAATTAAGACGAGGAACTGTTGAAATAATATCAAAGACGGGTTATCGAGATAAAATACTACTCTTAGTAAGATAAACAAATAAAATAAAAACATCGGAAGATAGGATAGTCTGACAGACAACTTCAATCCGCAGCGTGAAATTGATAACGATTCGTTCTAAACATATTTCGCTTGTCATAAAATACATATAGAAATATATAGCGGAAATTCTATTGACATAATTTTAATCTATAATCTATAATGACTTTCTGCCCCCCCCCTCTGCGCGGAGCAGCTTGATTGATAAACAATTTCGATTTCAAAACATACTTTCGCTTGTAGTACTATATATCGGAATCTATTTGACAAACGAAGTTCAAGCTACTTTTATAAAATTGCCTAACAGTCTGCAAAAAATATAAGCCGGATCCAATTCGAAGATAGAACCACGCAATCGGCAAATTACTAATTAGATACTTTAGCTTAGCGTAAACCGTTACACACAAACGCGGCATCGCCAAACATATTCGCACTGTAAGGGTCTTATCGCCTCGTAAACGCCGTGCGCATCGTGAAGCGACGCAGCGCAGAAGTTGTAGCTTTGAGGTCCGGATTAGATCTCCGGATTAGGGTGTCCTATTAACGACTTTGACTGTATTATTTTGGATGATTATATGATAATGATAATAACAGTGCCCTAATCACTGTAATATATAACTGTATTATAAGTTCCTATTACATAATTAGATTCCGTTCCTTGCAAAAGTGAACTATAGGAAATTCTTACTAATTCTGGTAATTATTTTTTAGAAACTTAATAAGTCTTTATGCTTTTTAGACTGAAATAAGGAGTCTGTAAGATTACATTATGTCTTAAAAGACTTATACAGCTTGGTTCATCTAGAGAACAGCTGGCTTGGTTACTCTTCTTCTTGAGAGGTAATCTGATTGTTTTATAAAAATCAAACATTTAAAGCCCATTGTACTGATTGATGACCCAGCAAGCACTGGCTGTTAACCTGAGTTTCACTTTGGCAAAAGGCTGACTGAAAGTTTTTTTTTTAACCATGTGACTTGAGCAGTTTTCCTAGAAAGTCTCTCCTAAGGCTTTTTTATGTAGAGTGTAAGGGTGTTCCAGAATCACTAATAATAACATTTGGAAAGCATTTTTTATTTAGTAATTCCCTTACTATGAGAAAGATATACTACATCATAATTCATGATCGATATCTGATCATAGATGAGCATTTGTTTCATTTGCTACCGTTTTTATATCAAGCCTTTTTTCTGATCTCGTTTAGTAATATAAAACAAGTATAAAAGAAATCTTTTCTGTCAATAATTATTTCAATGTATATATGAAAGGGAATGGACTATTCACCATGCGTTTCACAATCAGAAATATATTTTTAATTATTATTTGTTTAGTTTTCTAATTTTAATAATTAAACATTTTATATAAAATAATGTATAAAATGTTTTTGTGTATAATTTTTTACAAATACATCGTTACACATGACATATTAATTTTAAGAGAGTAATGTATGTGCTGACAAGATTCCAAATTAAATCCATTTCCCATTCAGATTTCATAAAAATGTCAATTTCCTGCTTTTTTGAGTGATTTCTCTGAACTAGCTGATTAAAATTCCAAGAAATTTTGATGAATCATGTAAATTTTGCTCCTGCATAATTTTAAAAGTGATAATATAGCTTCTGTTATACAGTACAAAGTCCGTAATCCGAACTCGTCGGGACTTCGGCGATTCCGGATTATAGATCATCAATTTAAATTTAGTAAGATGGCATGCAGAAATTATACAATTAAAAATATGAAATCTTAATTTATGAAATAAAGAACAATTATGATCTAAAGGTATCAAAATTTACACAAAAAAAAGATATATTATTTGTTTACTTTATTAAACATTCTTTCAATGTAATTGTTTAAGATGCTTCCACAAAAAATTCAAAAAGTTCTTTTTTTCTGTGTCATATATATGGACTTTCCAATGCCATACTTCTCCGTAATTTTTGAGATGGTAGCCCTTTATCCATTTTTGCAGCAATTCCACTTTTGTTTATGGACATCGAACACGATTTCGCTTTGTAGATCCTTCGTCAGCTCCAGAATTGGAAAACTCGATTTGACATAATCGAAAGTTCAAGCTTAATTTTTATAAAATTGTTCAACAGTCTGAAAAAAATAATAAGCGGATCCAATTAGAAGATAGGAACAGTGCAATCTGTCACATTAGAAATGCCGTAGAATTTTAGCCTAGCTTATACCGTCGCGTGCGTTATACATTAAACGTGCATGCATAAATGCATTAATGCATTTACGCATGCGCATAAAGTTTGTAGCTTTGAGGTCCGGATTATAGATCATTCCGGATTACAGACTTTTTACTGTATCAGAGGTTTAGCCCCGGTTCTCTTTGATACTGGCATAATTATCCAACTTACTATGTCTAATTTCTCTGTATCTCATACTTGTAAATAACTATATATATTACAAACAGCCTTTATTAAGTATACAAAAAGTAAACACAATTATAAAACTAAATAAATTTAATACTAGCATAATACAGTAAGATATAATACAGTCGTGCAAAGAAAATATGTCTTGACGGCCAAACGGCCATGGTTAAATGCCGACGATGAAAAGTCCTAGACCCCATATGAAAAGTATAAGTTTTAAGGGTACATTCTGATTGTCTGTAAACCAACCTGAAGAGTTGCCAACTGTTGGCAACAAATTTTATCTTCAAGCTAAGATGCAAAAAAACAACAACCATTTTTAAAAATACTGGTGCACTAAGAATTATGCTAAACAACCAATTAAAAAGGCAGTGAAAAAGTAATGTTTAAGTATCATTTGATGGCTACGTTGCAGAAGCACAAGGAATTCAAATGACCTCTTTACTTTTAATGCACAGTGTCCCGAGATGGCTGCAGGTTTACCACGGGCAGTTTTCAGTATAAATCTATTCTCAGTAAATACAGGAGCATTGCATTGTCGACATAGCTTTTTAGATATGACTTAATAATCAGCACTTGAATCATCAAGGGCTTTTACGCATCATCCGTTTATAGTGTTAAAGGTGGTGTTATTTTTAAAATTTGGCTATGGTGTACATTGGAGAATTTTTTTCAACTGTGGACTCATCTCCTCCACCAAACTGTTGCATAGATGAAGTGATCGTACAAATGAAGAGAATAGTACTCATGTCTCAAGACTTTTTTTATTTGAACTAAATAAATAATCGCTTATATACACTTGATGAATGAGCTGGAACATTTTAGACTTTAAAGCTTCTAGAAAATGGACAATGTTCTCTAGTAAATTGATTTAAAGGAAATAAATTAATGGGAAGGAAATTTAAACAAAATAAAAATTCTTAGGTGACTTGCCTCCAATGAGTTTTGTATTGTGGACCATCGGTTTTTGAATCTGGCATCTTAGCCATTGAGCAAGAATGTGCTAGCTCAAAAGGAACGAGTTTTGCTACAGTATAATTTTTATCAGTTTTTGAGATAATTTGTTACTCCCATTTTGAACAATTTAAGAAATTAAAAAAAAAAAAAGAAAAAATGTTTGGTATTTCCCTGTTGAAATAGGAATTGCATAAAATATTAACAACATTTGAAATTTGCATGCTATAGTTTGAATGATTAAGTTTCGCAATTTCGATGATCAAATATGGTTGCAATTTTAACCAAGGAAGTACCAGCTATTTTTATTACTATTTAAAGTGTTATTGAGGTTATTTAGACTAAATTTATTGAGGTTATTTAGACTGAACTATTAAAAATCTGTCTTTGTTGATTTCAGTGAATTTTAAAGTTATTTCATAAAATTGTTTTCTTTAGAATGATTATCTTTTTTGTTATTATCATTATTATGTAATTATTTCTTCATTATTTACTAAAAACATAGTATTTATTTAAAAGAATAATTGCAGAGCAAGTTTATTGATATGAAATAAAAAATGAAAAATTTTTTTATAATTTTAGGTACTGGTGCATATACGTACTATTCCAGTAGAACGTATTTTAGAACTTATTAAGAGAAAGCTATCTCTAGCAAAGGCTGAGGTAATATAAAATTTGAAAAAATATTAAGAAATTGTTTTCCCTTATTTTAAAGTTTTCTTAGCTTTTCTTCCAAATTCTGTATTTTATTTGTTACTGTATAACAAAATGCTTATTTATTTCATTTTAAATTTTTAAAGGAAAAACGAGATGCGATATTTGGTCAGTTATTTGCATATACAGCACTTGTGCGTTCAGGAAGACTTGCTGATAATAATCATTTGCCAGAAGTAGTTTTGTCCATCTATGAACTTTGCCAAGAGAAAAATTATATAATGATTGCTTGTTATGAGCTCACTATTAATCTTTTCACTCAGGTGAGTTATGTATTATTATTGGTACTTTTACATTAAAACCTTAACACTTGGTGTTTTCCCCCCTCCATATTTCTTTGTCAGCAGGTGTCATCACTTTGATTTCGCTTCTTTTCTAGAAATAGTTACCTTTATAACTTTGGGATTTTTTAGAAGATGTTGAAGTGGCTATCTTGTTTTTTTAAGAAAGAGACATTATTCATAAAGAAATATTGTGGTCAGATAACTACCTTATAAAATTTAAATGTAACTTAAAAAATACAAGTAATTATGCAGTTAATGCTTAAGTTGGGAAGAAACAGGTGTCCAAATATATATGTGTTTTTTTTTAACTGCGTAGTTCTTTCGTTACTGCAATATTATTCATTTGCTTATCAGGTCTGGTATTAATGTTGAGTTTTGCAAATCAAAGTTTGCTTCAAATTAAACACAACATAAAATTGATTGGAATAATTATGTAAGAAAGTTATGTATCAATTTCTGGTTATGTCGTCCTATTGTTAAAATTGATGGATGCAACAAAATAGTAGAAAATGGTGAAAAACCTATATAAAAAGGTAAAAAGTAACAGGAATCATGTTTTTTCCACCACACTGGATTTTTAGAGTATTTTATTCTGAAGTTAGAGATTTCTCCTTGCTGTTCCTGATAATTTCATTTTGTCTAGTGTCAGGCTAAATATGTGGGAAAAAATATGCCAGTAGAGCAACGACAATGCATGGTGTAGTTTTAATGGAAAGGGTACCATATTATTATTTTTTAATATTAAAGTTTCAAGATTTTAAGTATGTACGAACTTGAGGTACTTTTGGATTAACCTCCCAACCTTGACAAGAATCAATGCTATATAGGGAACCCAGAATTTTACAAAAATATATGTCTGAGAGCTCACTAATGGTTACCTGCATATTGCACCAGTACATAATGGTGGGGTTAACACATGTGGTTTTGAAATTCAAGGGTCAGCTTTGTGTTTTCTGCTTGTTGTGATTAGCATGTAGATTTTTTTTTTTTTTTTGTAACAATAGGGTTCATAGTGGTCCTTACAAGTGCTTATAAGTCCTCATAATTGAAAATAAATTATAAAAGCCCTTATAAGTGCTTACTTTTTCTCTAAAGCATGTATTTTTTTGTTTTTAGTGTTTTTCCCCCCGCATCAAAGCCATAACTAAATAAACAACTTTTTCTTTCTTATCTGGAGCATCAAATCGTGATTCGTACTTCCAGAAATAGCTTTCTTCGCATTAACATAACCTTTGATTTGCGTGAGTAGAGACAGGTGTACGTCATTCTGTTGGTCAAAGAGTTGTGAAAGGGGTAGAAAATTCCGGTATATTTTACATACTTTTCCTCCCACCCACAGACTATAGACGTTCCAAATCCCATGTGGTCAGTTCATATTCACATTTATTACGATTGTTATGCTTATATTATAAGCATATGTATAAATATTTATATTTGTAGTAAATGCTGAAATATAGCTAAACTTTAAAAATGGGGTAAGTGTGTTTTTAACACAGATAGGCTTTTCTAAGGAAGAATATTCTAACTGGCTTAAACAAAGCGAAAATAATTGCAAGGCCATGTGTTCCTGGTGTAAAACTGAAATCAACATAGCAAGTATGGGAGAGTCGCATGGATCGTAAGTAAACCGAAGTGTGTGGCACAAAACAGAACAAAAGCATACGAGAAAATGAAAAGTACATTGGTGCATTTTTCCAAAAAAGGTCATATTGCAGAAGAAGAATGCAATAACATTCTTTTGGACTATTCTGATTTCATCGAAAATGTCGTCCAGCCATACCTTACAGAATTTAAAGCCTACGATGTGAGAAAAATAAGATTAGATCCTTTTTTGCACACATTCATTAATGGAAAATACTTCAAGTTATAGGAAACATTTAAAATTATCTATTTCCCATGGGGGCAAGCCACTGTTGAATGAGGATTTAGCATCGATAAAAATATAGAAACAGAAAACCGGGGGGCTGGGAGGAAATTCGTACATTGCCCAGCACATAGTTTGTGATTATGTGAAACATGCTGGTGGGATACACAATGTGTCAGTTACGAAAGAGATGAGAGCGGCAGCTTCATCAGCTCATTCACAGTATCACTTATATTTGGAAGAGCAGGGGGTGAAATGAATTGAAAAGGAAAAAAAAAAAAAAAAAAAAAAAACGAAGCAGCAGAATCAACACATGAATTGATTTCTTTTAAAAAGAAAGAAAACTCTCTCAGAAAGAGAAGTTAAAGTGCTTGAAAATAAATCAAATGAATTTGCTGAAAAGGCTGAAGTTACAAAAGACTTTAATCTTTTAAATAAATCCAATGAAATGTTCAAACTATTTGTGAAAAACAAACTCTCTTAAAAGATTGGGATTCAGACATTAATGAAAAGAAAGAAAAGAAAAATCAAAAATAAAAGTAATATTACTAATTAATAAGCATAAATCATTAAATTAAATTTAATTAATAAGCATAAATCTTTTTTCTTGTTTCTTTTTTCATGTTCTAAAGTATTTTGTATGAATATAATAAATACAGTTTATTATTATTTATTTTCCTTAAACTGTTATTTCATCATTATATCTTGTGATATAATTTAGTTTTGCATAGGGTTCTTTCATCCCCTCTCAATGTAAACTAGTTCTATAAATTGAACTGAATTGTTCTATAAATTGAAATTAAAAAATAATTGTAATTGTTTCCTATGTTTGAGTAATGCTGATTCTCTCTTTAAATACTGAATTTCTAGGATTTTGAATTACAGTTAAATCTCATTTTTAGTTTAAGATTATGCAGTTGTGCATATATGTAATTGAACAGGTGCTTATTTTTTCCTTAAAATGTGCTTGAAAAGTACTTATTTTTTTTTTAACTAAAATGTGGCTACGAACCCTGAACAAATTGTAAAACCACTGTGGAGTTTGCTTACTAATGAAAAAGGAGTTTATCTATAGAAAGTTTGTATTCTATGAAGTTAATTTGTGCAATTCTTTGATAATTTTTCAAGTTAAGACAGGTTGATGTGTACGCAGAGAGCAGCATTAAGTTACTCTGCAATGCCAAGGATTCTGCAATTCTCTGATTTTTAAATTTTTTTTGGAGTTAAAACAAAGAGATATTAATATTAATGTTTCAAGACTTAAAGACTTTGCAGAAGACTATTAGAAAAGAAATCTAAAATATTTTTGTTAACGTATGTTTGTTGCATTAAAGTTAATGCATGGATGTTTGTTGCATTTTTACTTTAATTAATTTATTGTTGTTTCATGTAATTTTGAGTGTTTCATTATAGATGTTTATTTTATGTAATTTTTAATATTTTATTATGGATGTTTCTTGCATTTCTAATTTCATTGATTCATTGCTGTTGTATGCAATTTTCAGTATGCCATGATTTTTTCAAATGGCTACTGTATTTCATCTCTGTTAAGTTGGTGAAATATTAATCACCAGTAGTTGGCAGCTTTGTGAGAGGGTTCGGTGGACAGTCCGAGAGTACCAAAATTGATAATGCTTAAATGTTCTCTAATAGAGAATTTAAAAAGGAAAGAAAAGAATAAATCTATCTTCTTAGCATATTTTAAGATTTTATATTCACTAGTGGGTGAAGGCTCGCTCGTCATCTGCAGTCACTTGGTTATTAGTAAAAACGTGACTGAGTCTGAAGAAGAGTTAAAGAATAAAATTAATTAGAGTACAGTGCAAAGTCCAGATCTCTGGTCCACTATAAAAAAAAGTTTTTTTTGCAAAGTTTAGGAGTGGAGAATGTAATACTGAAGAAAAAGCAGGCGTACCATAAAAGCAGTTTTTCTTTCGACTAGCTGAGATTAATTCCTGCATGCCTTTTACAAATAACTGATGGCTAGGGAATCACACTGCAGTGAATTACAATGAAGTGACTGATGTTGAATTAATGTTAGCCATAATTCCTTGGGTGGTTCTGAATCGATTAATATTTTCCTATCTGAGTGTTTTCTTTTATTTACATAGCAGCAGGAAAGGGAGAAAGAATGAAGAACTTCCATTAATGTCCCAAGTTGCATTCATCCTTAACTTTCTGATTTGAAGTACTCATTATTGTGCTGCATTTATTATTATTAATCTTAACAAAATTACAGTTTTAGTAAATGATCATGTTGCTGTTTTACTCTTTCCCTGAAACTGTACATCTGTCAATAAGCCAATAGGTATCAAAAATTTTGTCTGCACTGAAATGCAGATATAAAATAGCTTAAGAAAAACCATGCAACAGTAAGATCATCCAGTTCTAGAAATATTTAACATAAAATCTGATAGGTGGGGCATTGCCAGATCATAAGTTATGTCTCCAAGATATTTTTTAAATGCTTGGCATAATTTATAACCAGTTACCAAATTTCATAATAATGATGATAGCCACAGCCCTGAAAGTTTTTAGATATCACAAGTTAAAGCTAAATTTTTTGATTAAGGGAATACAAGAAGAAATATTAAATGATGGTTATATAACTAAAATCATATATTGTAATGACAATGCCTTAATCATCAATCAATTATCAGAACCGCAAATATTTGAAGTATGATTTTAAATCCAGAAAATATCACTATTTTAGTTTCAAATAATATTTTAATTTCACCAGAATTAAAAAAAATGGTTTCAATGATTCGAACAAAATCTTTCTTTATGCAAAATAGCTCTCTCTTAAGGGAATGTTAATGAAGATAATTTTTAATCTTGTGATTTTCGCATGTAATTTTACTATGTTTAAACTGATGATCTAAAATTTGAGAATTTCTAAAATGCAGAATGGCTAAGTCTTCGTGATTCCAGATCTCGGACTTTGAAGTAGACTTTTAATAATACTTATAGTTTATAACTGAATTCCTATTCAGACACCACATATTTTTAATTCTCTTGCTGTTGCTGAGAAATATGAAAACATTTTTATTGCCCTCATAATTAATATAATTAGAAGTAATAAATTTTGTTGCTTGAATGGCAGATGTTTTATTACTATCTTGGTGCCATTCAGAGTATCTTTGTAACACTGATAATTATACTGGGAACTCTCTATGATGATCCTCAAAGGTTCCAGACTATTTTTGTGTTCTGTGAGGTGTTCATCTTAGAAAAGATAACTATCGGTCATGACATTTATTGATTTGTTTGCATTATGAATCTACCTTATTAAAAGCCCTCTACTTTTAAGATAAAAAGCTGTCTCTTGAAGAAAAAGACTGTAGTATGTAATATATTGCTTTATTAATACTGTTATGTTAATAAAAATAATATAGGAAGAAAGAGAAAATTTGCACTTTATTTACGAAATATTATAGGTGAACAGTATGTTTAAATGTTTTAAATGGATTTTAAATGCAGAAGGTGTGTACACTCTTTTAGAATGGTTCTGGAGGTCGTTTAATTAATGTTTAAAATGTAAAGAATATTTTTTTAAATGTTCAATCTAATAGCCTTTTTCTGGATTAGAAATTTGCATCTTGATTTTCATAATAGAAGGGCTTTTCATCAAATTTCTAAGGACACTGATTTCCATTCATCTTCCACTACTTTTCAGAGTTCATCAGTCGTGGTAGGTTTACACTTAGAAAGAGCTCTTTTCAAGGAAAAGCATCAGGGGATTTTGAGGAATATGTTGAAAAGTTATATATGTAATATCTGTATCAGTTTTCATTTTTTTGAGGAATGCAGTCATGTATTTAGAAGTATGACTTCTTGCTTTGTCTTGATGAAGTTTTACTCCTTAAAGGTCACTGAGATAAAGAAATGAAATTTCTTCTCTAAATATTGGATGTAAATCTTTGTCTTGATAGTACATTGAGTTAATTTTAATGCTTTTTTCTACTCTTCTTATTTTTTATTTTCCACTGTAAGAGAATCCTGTGACGTTCATAAACTCTTTACTGACACATTCATTGCAGTCACAGAACCAAGTTTATACAATTTTCCCTCTTCATTAGGATAAGAAATGGACCTTTTTATTAGCAGTTATTTAGGAAAACCCATGCTTCATGAAGGGTCACAATGTATTTCCCTTTGTCCCCTGTTAAATAGTTTTCATAAAGGATTCCACAATTGTTCTGCATCAAGCCATATATCTTAGCAAAAGCTGATGAACAATATGTTTTTTAGCTTTTTTTTAAGTTTTAAACATTAATTTATTATTTTATTTGTTGTTGTTACAGATGTACTTAAAGACTTGATTTCGCCATGGGCAAATTTTCTTTCATTACCAAAGATTTAACTTTAGAAACATTAGACACAATTCTTACATTTTTTGGGCATTTGCTTAGCTTTCTTCCCATGTGCAAGTAATGATTGATGGTCTTTTTTTTTTTTTTTTTTTTTTCTGATTAGTAATAGTGCTTACTTTGCATTTAGGAATTTTAATTCCATGCATTTTACAATGTTTTTTATTGCGGAATAAGAATTTGGAAAGTGCAAAAATATATCCTTCAATCCACAGCTTGTTTACATGCAACATTTTGTAAAAAGAATAAATTTTAAAGTAGCAGATAATATTTCTCATGTCAAGTAATAAGGTGCTACCAGAAATTTTTGCTCCTTAACATTTACTCTTTTTTTTTTTTTTTTTCTTTCTTTCTTTCTTTTAAATGTATCAAATTTATTCTAAAAATGTGTAAACACCTAGCAAAAAAAGTTATAAATTCTTGCATTACAAATTACTTATTCAATGAAGCCTGCCTGCTAGATTTTTTTAAATTCCCCCCTCCCTCCAAAAACATTTTTAAGCTCATAAAGTTAATCAACCATTTTATTAATGTTAACTACCTACCATACTTATTTGCCAACTAACCGTCTGCTGCTTCATTTTCAATACTTTTTCTCTATAAATTCTTTTTAGGGGAGGAAACTTTTTTTTTTTATTGATTATGAGTATAATTACTTGGCAGTGTTGTGCATGACATGTTAGGCTGTAAACTGGTAATTGAATATTTTATTGATAAATTCATATTACAAAAGAATTGACAGATTTTCAGAATGCATGGAGAAATAGGTAAATGAAATGAGCTAAACAGCCTATAAAACAGTTGCAACAAAATTACAGTTAGAAAATTTAAAGTTTAGAAGAATATTTGCTGTAGCCAAAAACTGGTGTCTGTTTCAAAGCAGTTACTTCTATGAAGAGAAGGAGGAAAATAGCTGTAAAAAAACCCACTGAAGCATCTTTATATTTAGAATCCAGGTATTAGGATTCTTCATGAGATTCTTTTAAGTTGTTAAGAAAGAAACATGTAAATATTTTACTTTGTATTATCTTTACACTTTATAATGATATCAAGTATATATATTTTCAAATAATATTTTAAATATTATTACATTTAAGTTTAAATATATTTCTATCTGAACATACTAAATTCTGTTGATTACTTAATTCAAGTATGTATCCAAAATGTTGAATAATTAAACTTTAATGTATGATTGTCGTTTCATCAATAAAGAAAGAAATATATTTAGACAATATTGAGACTATTATATGATATTACTTGATTAAAAATAATGAAATATATTTTACCCATGTATACTTGGAAAAAATGTAGTAAGTATCTTCATTTTGGATAAATCAAATTTTACTGATAAATATTTTTGTAAGTTGGCAGACTAATGAAGGCAAGTATTTATTATTCTTTATTATATATGTTTTAGTTATCAAAAGAAATTTTCAAAGAAAATGTTTGGCCTCATTTAAAGAAGAAGATATTTTCTGGTTTGGAAAATCATTCTCCTGATTCTATATGGCTACTTCTCTTATGTCTGCGAATGTTTCCTGTAAGCATTTAATTAAAATTTTTGCTATGTATTTACATTTAAAAATATCTCAATCATAAAAACATCTGATGTATCTGTAATTTGAAAGTGCTTACACGAGGGATTTCACTTAAAAATTTATTTGCTAGTATGCTGTTCTTATGAATTGATATTTAACTTATCTTCAGCAGATTTTACTATTATTTGACATGCTGTTAACTGATTCATAAATGAATTTGTGTTGAGTATTAGTAGTAAAACTATATTTTGGGACATTTTATTTTTGTAGTTTTTATTAACTATGTAGTTAGCATTTGAGTAAATTCTCTTTTGTAAGTCTGTAAAAACATGATTACTGATACTTAATAGAAACGATTTGTCTGTTTTCATATGTTGGTTATTTATCATATTGATTTATCCTTTTTTTCAGTCATTCAGATTTATATAAATATTATATTTAATGTTACATTAACTCCAAAATGCAGAAGTTTATCTGTTTACTTAATATTTTAAATTATTTTCTTAAATGTGTGTTCTGAAGAGAGTTATGTATTTTGAGGTAGTCTGATTGGTAGTTTTTACTTCAAGTTAACTTAGAGATGAATATTGCTATAAATGAACTTTAAGGGATTGAAAGTTTGGTTCGCTATATCAGATCTGATTAAAAAAATATGGATTATCTCTCTAAATAACGTAAAAATTGATTGATGAATCACAAAAAGGGCTAATTAGCATTATCTCATCTCTTAAAAGAAGTGAATGATTAAAAAAGTCATATTTAATGGTTAATAATAATTATTATTGCATGTAATTACTAAATTTCCTTTTTGTTGTCTTTCAATTTCACCATATGTTAATAATTTTAGATGATGAATTACTTAGCGTAAATTATGTAGCTCTTATGTTTTAGATTCATACCTCCATTTCAGGACTTAAAAGAGAAGGGCTAGCTCATAGAGCTTTTACCCCTGAAACAGGCAGTGGGGAGTGATGACGTAGCCATGATGACACTGAGCACGGAGATGCAATTGACAACAAAGAAATTAGCGTTTTAAATCTGAAGAACCAGCATTTAAAATGAGCTGTGCGTGAAAGATGGCTATAATTTAGAAGAGACAATGTTACTGCAGCATGCATTTTACACTGAACATTAAAAAATTTAATAGTACTTACTCAATTTTAAAATAACAGATAAAATGCGCCTACTCTTAGCATAAAGTTCCTTTTTTTAATTTGCAGGGATTTTTTTTTCTTTAAATGCCTGTTTATTTCTAATCATTTCTTTATCTGCATGTTAACTAAGGGAACTATACTATTGCTTATAAGGTAACTATAATAACAGCTATTTAAAATTAATCAATAAACAACCTTAAATTGGCATAGTTTTCAAAATTTCTGCTAATCTAAGTTTGAGTTTCAGCCTAATTTTAAATTTTACATTGGCATATTTTTCTCCCAATTCAATATAATAACATATATTTTTAAAAATAATTTTGTAACTTAGGCTTACATCAATATTACATTTAAATAAATGCGTGTAAGATTAGCTTAATTTAGACAAAACAACTTTACTCACAGTACCTAAAAAAATTATTTAATTTTTCAAAAGTGGGGGTTCAGAAGGCAGGTTTTCTTATGCCAATTACTTTAATGTTACACTATTATATTTTATCTAGAATGCTAAGCTAGTACAAAAATCGAATCAATAATAACACAGGATACAATAAAAATAACTTTAACAATAACTTAACAAAATTAGTTCTCATTTGAAATATGCTTTACGCTATTAATTTCTAAAATGTCATCTAGAAATATTTCAAATCAAAACATATTATATATGCTTACTTGTACAGTCACAATGCAACTACAAGTTGTTGAAATATTATTTGTTGGCTATTACATTCGAAGCAATCTACTTTTTTGCTTTTTGGGTTGCTTTTCTTTGGGGAAAAGCATATGCATTTCTATTTAAGAAACATATTCTACAGAGCTCTTATGACAATGCAACGTGAAATATCTTCACTAGTCCACCTGATTTTTTCCTTCTTTTCTCTTCTTTCCTTTTCCTTTCTTTATTTTTCAATATTTTATTACAATTTTCTAAGGATATTATTTTGTTCTTCAAATTATCAATACATTCTTGTTTATCTTTACACTTAGATCATTCAGGTATATTGTCACTTAGGGCATTGTCACTTGTGAATTTTATTTCAAAATCATTCACATTTGATGTATTATTGTCATCTTCAATTTCGTTCTTGGCCTCAAAATAAATTTTCTAATTCATGTAGTCTTTCAAAAACACTGCATTAGTTTTCTTTTCAAATGTCTCCGATTTCTTGGTGTTATTTCGTTTACTGCACGCGATAAATTTACTTTCGGCACAGTATTGCATTTCAACTGTTTCTTTTGCGGCAATCCAAGCAAGTGATTTCTCATGTCATCTTTACAATCACTACACAGAAAACGTTTGCCGCAAATGCTTGAATTCTTCCCCTCTTAATAAGAATCTTGTCTTTCAACATTTAGGCATTACCATTCCTTCGATCAAAAGCAAATTATCCTTTGGGAAAGCATGAAATACAATGCCTCTTCCTTTTCCGTATTTCTATAAGTGTTACGGCAAGTTGCTACAGCGTACAAAGAAGCCATATTAATTTTTACAGTATAGAATTTAAAACGATATTTTACATTACATAAACGGTATTTTACAGTATAGAATTTAAACTGACTAAACTGACTAAAACTATATATATACACAAATTACTTTTAATATTTGCATTGTATAGGAACAAATATATAAGATTAAAATTAATTTGGGATATGCGACCTCCAGAAAATTGTCTCGCAACTTTATGAAACTACAGTTTTAAACGTGCTCGAAATCAGAAGCAGGTGCAATCACAGTGACACATCAAGATTACTTGCCAGTTAACCCCCTCCATGAGGCTCGCGTCGGCGAGGAGTCGAACAAAGGAATGACCTAGCCCTTCTATTTATCCCTGCCTCCAATTAAACATCTTCATCTAAAACACATATTTAAGATTAGAAATTGTCCAGATAATGGCAGATTGTCACTTCTTTAAAAGATGAATTGTTTCAGCTATGCTTCTTCAGCATTGTTATGTTTGGTCTACGTAAATGTTTTCCTTGTATCCAAATTTTTTCCAAGAATAAAAATAATCAATCTCTTCCACATGTGGTGGCAATTGTAGACTCAATTAACTGCATTTCCAATGGATATGGATTTGGTTACATCCATTCTATATTTTTCAAATAATACTCATCTTACCTTCAATACACAACATTATACGATGACTGCTTGGCATACGGATTAATTTTTAAAGCTGAAAATTTTTCTGCTGGAGAGTAAAGACAGTTAGGTAAAAGAATATTTTACCTAACTGTCTTTACTCTGTCTTTACTCCTTTATTGAAGTTTTGCGCTTCTGCAAAATATGATATGTGAAAGGTAATTTCATCACTAACGTGCTGTGTCGAATGTCCAATGAGAATGGATTTATTTTGCTGAAAATATGTATAGTTGCCTAGCAAAAGTGTAATAACCCTTTTAAAGAATATCCTAAATATTGTAAAAGATCCCCATGCAGAAAACAGAACTTTGACAATTTTTAAATACTGAAACAAAACAGATAAGAATAAAAAATTTCAAATCCCTAAAACAATACTATCCAACCTTTTTTAGATCACAGCACACCTCGCAAGCATAAAGAATTTTACGGCATACCTTACAAGCATAAATAATATCATGGCACATTATGAAGGAACATTTTTCTATTAACCCTCTGACTGCTCAATTTGTGGACTGAAATCTCTTCAAAAATTCTCTCTCTCTCTCTCTTTTTTTTTCTTTCCATATTTTAAACCTATATACATTGGAGAATTAAAAAATGAACTTTTTCTTTCTAGAAAATACTTTTTATATAGATTTTTATCATGAGAAACTTAAATTGCCAGAAAAACCAATTTCAGATGTTATCATCTAAAAAAATGTTTTTAAAATAAATTTCAGTCGAATTACAGTTAATTTCTATTTATTGTATAATATAAAAAAAGCAAAATTTATAAAATTTAAGAAAATATAAAGCACTGAGGAATAACTACCTTAGAAATGCAGTTTAGTATGATAGAATTCAAAACAGGGTTCAAGGCAAAGTCCAACTTCACAGTCTTTGCACCAGATTCAATAACTGTAATTAATGATCAATCTAATTATTAATCTAATCAATAAATTTAATTAAATAATCAAGATAATTGCTTAACGTTTTCTACCAGCCATTTCTGTAAGAAAAAAGCGGCAAAAAGTGAAGTTTGAGCGGTAATACCACGTGCCTTCAAATGCCACAATTTAGTGGACAACTAACGATCTCTGTTGGCCAAAACCTGAACTAAACATCTAATATTGTATATAATTTATTTCAATGGTTAAACAGGAGAAAACAACACATGCCCGCGAAAATCGTGGGATGAGCAGATTTTGCTACATTTGAGTTGCCTGTGGAAACTGGTGGCTGAGCAGCCAGAGGGTTAACATAATTAATTTCCTCTATTCGGTGATAGAGATTCAATTAATAACATTTTTCTTTCAAATATTTTTGCATTAGTATTTCAGGTTGACATGCTTTTAGATAAGGCTTCTTGTACAGTTATAAGCACGAAATAAAGAAAGGAAATTGAGTGAAAATACCTAATCCAGTGACTATTTGATTTTATATCATCACTCAGTGACTATTTGATTTTATATCACATCTTTGAACTAAATTGTCAAATTTGAGTGGATGAAAGTGTGATTAAATTTTTTGAACACTTATTTTAAAAAGTTATGATATGAAAATCTGAAAATAAAATTAATTATACAGAAATTAATTACTGACCATGTATAATGCTAATAACAATTTATTGACCAATATTTTTAAGTGTTATTATAAATCAGGGTTCATATGGTCCTTAAAAGTCCTTAATTTTTCAAAAATGATTTTTGGTCCTTAAAAGTCCTTAATT